CGCTTTTTGCCGCGTGTGCTGTGCCAAAAATCAGCTGATCCCACCATAGGCTGATCATCGGCGGCCATTTTTATTCTAATGAAGCCGGGGATGTTTAAATCCCTGCTTCATTGGCTATGTTGGGTGGCCTAGTTTACACGCCTCTGTCGGCAGATTAGTCTAGACGTACCCTCAGTGGGTCTGGAAATGGGAGTAAAAAAGCTACTTTAGCAAAAGTTGAAGTGTCTCAAACACAAGTGACTGGAGTAAAGCGCGAATGCCGAACTAATGTCCTTTGTCGGGTACCCAGGCATTTCTACTTAGGTACTTTCCACCTCTGGTGCGGTCTAATGGTGAGAGCGGGGGGACGGTGATACTGAAGGGAGCTACAAGCTGGGTTGCCCAGGGGCTGCGTGTCTCTCTGTTATTTCCCCTCTGCACAGTCACAGCTCCCAGGTGTAGGACGTCAGAGAAATGACCACATCCCCTGCATGTGGTCACAGACTCCCTGGGGGGCTTCTCAGAAACCCTCCCCCTGTGGTCGCTGGGATGGGGGCGGATGCCAGCTCTGCCCATCTGCAGCCAGGTCAGGTCTGACCTCGCCCTGGGAAAGATCAAAGGGCCCCGTTCCCACCCGCCACCGAGATCAGTCGCTGTCCCTCCCAGTCCCCCCACAGAGACATGGGCAGGGAGCTGAGCAGGGATGGGGCCAGGTGAGTCCGAGCCCCAGATGTGCGCAGCTGTGAGCCCACACCCAGAGCAGCCCTGGACCCTGCTGGACACGTCCCCACCAGGGTCTTCTCCGTCCACTGGTGCATCATCCGGCCGGCTGTGCAGACATGTGGCCTGTTCTTTCCCCCAACCCATGTGGTGGGCTGTGGTTGGAAACTGCATTTTGATGAGTGTGCAGGTGACCTTGAGGTTTCCTGCTCCCTTGAATCTCTTCCCAGCCAAGCTGAGACTATAAAATGTGCAGAGCTGGTGCAGATGCACCGTCCCTGCACTGACTGCAGACATGGAGGTTCATTTCTTTCTGCTCCCCATGGCCTTTCTCCTGATACCTGGGACTTGGGCTGTTGAGTACCACTGGTCTGGGGGGCCCTGGGACTTTGGGGACCATGGGTGTTCACAAGGATTGGGTTCTGTGGGTGCTACCTTAGGTCCTGTGACAGCTTAATTCCTTTTGTTCATTATTTATTATGATAAATTTCATTACAAGTGTGCCTTGTGAAGTATCATCGGAAAACTCATAATGTGCTGACCATTATTGTCCTGAGAAAATAGCTGGGCAGATAGTGATAAGATTATACTGCAGGGTGGTACTCAGACATGTTTAATGTCTGTGAATCAGACACTAACCAGTTCCCGTGGTGCAAAAGACTAGCCAATGCCTCAGCCAGGACTCAAAAAAATAAAATGGCCCTTCACTCAGTTAAGTTGTCGTTCTGGGGCTGCAAGTAGGACCTGGGTGAAAAATGTCCATCATAATGAACAAGCAGCTGGGGATGCAGATCTGCACAGACCTTCTGTCTCCTAAAACCCAGTGAGAAATAGTTTGCAAAGAAGAGAAACAATTACAAAAGGCAGGAGCAGACTACCCAACTAATCTCCCCCTGTCCCTTTACCTCCGGCATGCCCAACACCGGACGCACAGAGGCAGCCGTAGCAGATTGAGGGAGGGATCCTGAGGGAAGGGAAATGG